CAAAGCGGGAGCACCACAAAGGCACGAAAGTTTTTAAAACCGGGTTCCCATCCGAGCGGCTCCATCCACAGCCCATTCGAGACGCCCAGGTGAACAAGCAGAGCTTTTGGGGTTGTTGACACACACACACACACACACACACACACACACACAGACACACACACACAAAGCCATCTACCGGAACACAGGAAATTATTGTCACATTTATACCAGTCACCCAGGCACAGCTTCTAATGGAAAATGTTTGCATTTTGGGGCTAGAAAGAACTAAACAGCGGGGCTCTTTTCTAACCGAAAATTTCCAGCTTATGTGGACACAGCAAATACATCATTTGAATGGAACAATGTCATGTTCACCTAGATGAGCGGCGATTATCAGCCATGCTACATATATAAGTCAATACCAATAGAGCCAAGTATTTTTAATACATTTTTATACTGTTTCTTAGTTTTTTAGTAATTTCCACATTTTGTAGCCCATTAATGAAAGCAAATTTTAATATACCAAATACAAGACACCAACATGTAATGTTGTATATGACTTTTTACTTAAAAATAAAAAAGTTATCCTCTTGATTAGTACTGTTGTCACATCTTAGTCAGCTCTAGCAGCAGTACTTTAAAAAGCTCTTTGGATTTGTCTTGGATTTGTTTGGTTTGAATGTTTTGCAGGGATCTTGCCTGCAGATAACATTATTGGCATGGATTGCTATTTGCAGAGTGCTTTATCCCGTTTTGGGTGGATATTCTGCTCCATCTACCAGAGGGATCACTTCCTGCTTACAGCTCTGCACTTACGTCACTGAATCACAATGAAATCCCAGGGTAAACTTGAGACTTCTTTTGTATTTCTTTTTAAAACAATACCAAAAAAAAAAAAAGAAGGCATTATAGGTTACTGAAAAATGGCAGATGAAATAGGTTAAAGCAAAGCAAACAAGCGTCCACCCAGATGGTTATTAACACAAGATATTTTCCACTCACTTCCATTATTTTCAGAAAGGACAACTAGTCTGTTAATAGAACGGGAAAAAGAAAAAGCCATTAAATTACTTTCTTCTCTGTGACATAAGTTTTAAAGGGTCAGAATAATATCATGATACAAACAGCTTTAGATTACAAAAAAAACCCCAAACTCTCATATAAACTATTTTTAAGCATGTTGGTAAAACATTTTTTTAAATAATTCAACTATTTCTGCAGGTTCCATGTTTCCCAGACTGGATTACCACATCTGGGGTTCGCATTAACCATGCAGAACGGCACCCGGCGCCCCCGGCAGCTCCCCGGGTTCTGAAGCTCCGGCCCTTTGGCTGTCCCGACGCCCCTCGCAGCGGCTGCCCCGCGCGCCCCGCGCCGCCTCCCAGCCCGGGGGTTATCGCTGCACCCACAAACACACTTCCTGCTGTTGTGCTCGGTATCAGCACAGGGACACAAGTTACTTAAAATAGTTCCGGGGGGTCACACAATGATCAATTGTTTGCAATATTTCTTTCAGTTGTTATTTTAATGCTTTCAGTAGTTACTTTAGCGATTTCAGGATTCTGAGGCCAGGATGCAATGGTAACTTTAGAGGAAATAGCTTCTGCTTTCACAACATACGGCAGCCCGTGCATAATGTTCTACCTCTACAACAACAGTCACGCTCTTGCACGTTATTCTGCTCTCCGATTTTCTGAATAAAAAGCATTAGAGGCAGACCGATTGGAAACCACTCTGCAGTGCAAAACAGTGCAAACTGGGACTTTGTTCTAATGAGTTTACTTCATGTTTCCCACAGAGCTGTCCCACAGCCCTGCCTTTACCAAGGAGAGAAGCAGAGCGCTTGATTTCACAGCCTTCGATGACCACGATGAGTTTCCGGAACTTGAGACTCAGCAAGACACACGCGGAGCCCGCAGAGCCGCCTGTCCCAGGGCAGCGGGTGCATCCCGAGCACCACACACGGCAGCAGAGTCTCGGCAGCAGCGCAGACCATTTCTTCCCTATCTGCCTCTGCAGAGGTCGCAGCTCCTGCACGCAAACAGCACCAGCTCCTCTCCATTCTGCTTGCAGAGGAATAACTCTTTACCCCTCAGCACTGCTAAACTTTCAAACCATGGTAGGTTCATTGTTCTTTCCACAATTTCTATTTTTTTCTTTTTTAAGCAATCCCAGCAGATGGCAGTAGCAAATCCGGGAGCACTCCCGCAAAGGACAGCTCCTCTCTATTCTCAGAATATACACGTAAGACTTCCAAACATCACACACAGGTTTTGAAACGCAGAACACAAACAGAACCATCACTGAAAATAAAATCTGGATCGCTTTCAGTACTTCTAAAGCACGTGCTAATAGCGAATCGTTAAAGAGCAAACTGCTCGGCTTTCTGCAAGTTTAGTAATCAACTTGTTTCTTGGTAATTTGCGTGGCTGGAATTGCACTGGGCAAACGCGCGGAGCCGGGCGAAGCCCCTCGAAGCCGTGTCCTGCGTGGTACCAGGAGCAGCAGCACAACCCGGGCTGCTCGGGAGGCTCCCGGGGACTCATCGCAGGGCCTACGTGTTGCCGAAGGCGGGAACAGCGGGAGCTGCTAGAAAAGGCAGCGGTGACGGGACGAACAGGGCTGCAGCGCGTGCCCAGCGCGCAGGGGCGGCAGCACGAGCTAATCCTGAAGGTGCTGCAGCACGACGGCTCCGCGCGCGTGACAAACCGCAGCGGCACACTGAGCGGCGACCCCGCAGCGCGGAGGAGCCGGGCTGCCTCATCGAACGCTTCATCCGCCTGGCCCGTAACACCACCTTCCCTCCAAACCACACACGGGAACTTTCCAGTCATTTACTCGTGTCAATACATGCTCAGAAAGGGATCCAGATAAGCAAGGCTGAAAAGCCCTTGCTCAGAATTAGTTTAGTCCTTACTTTATTAGAAGTTTTATGTTACACTTGTACCAAAGCACACATTTTTCACGTCTAAATTAACCTATAAATAATGGGATTGATGTTTATGTCCATTTCCATTGTTTCCTATGGCTTAAATATAATTTACATGGGAATTCTTGTATATTTCCAATGAAATCTAACATTCTGTTTAATTCTTGCTTACACAGATTCTTAAATTCAATTTGACTCATTGACTTGCAGAAGTTAATATTAAATACTCAAAGGTAACACTTAATTCAAATATACGTGAGCAAAAGAGGAACTACTTCTCAACCAATCATGCTTTCAGTCTGTATAGATGCAGAACTATAGCAAAGAAGAGTTAATCTCCAAACTTCTGCTTTCACTTGTATCTAGGATCCTCCCCTTATTTTTTTTAGGTAGTTATCTTGAGGCAAAAGCAGTCGTTACAACTTTACGAGCACAGTCCCACTAGTGGCAACCTGTGTTTGTGTGAACAGGGTTGTACAACCCATCTCAGGACCAGCGGAAACTTTTGGAGCTACCCCAGGTTACTGCCACCCAGAGCATTTTCCTTCTCTTCTCTGCATTCTTAACGACAATATATTTAAACACTTAAGCTTCGCCTTTTATTCTACTGAATCTTAGGAAAGGAGACCTCTCTTCACCTTTTCTTTTTCAAATAGAATAAACACGGACCTAGGAAATACTGGTAAACAGAATACTTGCACCAAATGATAACAGGGTCTGATCTTATATAACAGCCTCAATTAAACCAATTAGGAGAACTGCTATTTAAAAGGTACACTTTTAAAAGAAATAAATATATGAACAAATGGAAAGAGTCTTTAAATAATATATATAGCAATTATCGGTTTTCAATCTTTTATATTTACTCTCATATGCTACACTATAACAAGAACACAGCAGCACTAACGGCAAAACATCACATTTCTGACTTTGAAAACTTAGCATGTAAATTAACTTCCTACACATTCTGACTAAAGGAGCACAAGATCAACTCTAACATTAGCCCGTGGCTAGCTCATGCCGCTTGTTCTGGCTTAAAAGCAAGGCTTTATTACAAACACGGGTCTGATGCGCTGCGAGTTACTAACTGTACGGGTGGGGGAAGGAATAACGCGCCTGGCTCTTCCTCGGCCTGTGCCATGAAGCCCTTCCCCACGGCCGCAGCCTGCGACGCCGGGCGCGCTGCTTCCGTCTCGGCAAGATTACACGACGGGCAGCAAAGCTCCTCAAGCAACGCAGAAAGCTCTATCGAATAAACCCTGTGCAAAGTTCTACGGTGACACATCACAGCTACACACTTCAGACTTTGTCATGCAGGAAGTGTGCTGCAATATGGTTGCTCTCAAAAACAAAACTAAGGCATCTTTCATTTTTCTAATGAACATTGCAGAATATAGCAGATTGGACAAGTTTTCTCTTTAAAAAAAAAGAAAAATCATGCTGGTTTTGCTTCACTGATACTGAAGGATGATAATTGAATACATTAAAGTGGGTCAATAAAGTATTACAAGACTTTCTTTTCTACTGACAAAAACACTCTGAGACAGTAGCTGTGGGAAGAGAAAAACTGTGGGCAGGATTAGAGCAAGGCAGAAGAAGTGTCTCCATTTAAATGAGGAGAGCAAAGTTCAGTATCGCTGTTTCAGGTGGCATACAGTGCACTGCCACAGGTCAAACACCCTCCCAAAGATCTTGACAGATGACGTATGCAAGGCGTTTTCATACGCTTTCCGCTTGTAACTCCTAAGACATACAATCTAACACTCATCTCCTAGCCTGAAATTTATAGGACAGCTTAGCCATACAGAATACATCCTGATAAAATGTATAGACGGCACGTAAACATGTTGCACTTGTTTCAAGAAGAGAGGGACATTGGGGCCTGTTAGTAGGAGGCTGTTGTTCACGGCTCTACACCTTGTTATGTCCACAGAAACAAGCGGAGCCAACTTTCTAACAACGGCCAAAAAAAAGAAACAACCCTGTAGTAAGCAGCTTTCTCATATGCTGAATCAAATGACAAAAACAAGAAGGAGTTATGATTTGGTAAAAAAGGTAAAGAATCAGTCGCGTTTTTCTCTCTACTCACCAGACAACCCCAAAGGCTCCGTATCCGATAGGTCTGTCCGGCTCAATGTCCAGTTGCTGCTGGGGGTGCTGTGAGTGCTGATGGTGGTGCGCTTTGACTGCAGCAGCTGCTGCAGCTTGTACCTGAGCGGGGGCTGCGGCGGCTGGTCCAGGGGCCTGGCCCGGTGCCGGCGACGGGAAATAGGGCTGCTGCTGCCCGGGGTTGAGCATGGCGGCGTGCAGGTGGTGCTGGGGGTGGTGGTGGTGATGGAGGAGAGGAGGAGGGAGGTGAGGAAGGGGGTGGTGATGGTGGTGGTGGTGACCCGCTGCTGCTGCAGACGTACCGCCATTGTAAGCCGCCATCATTTTTGCGTTGGCTGTTGTGCCACAAAGAGACATTCAAAAAAATGCCCTTTGACCGGATAACAACTGGGTCAAGCTGTCATTTGGCCATAAAAAAATGGAATTTGCTACACTTTAGAGGAAGTTGGGTTTCATCATACACGGCCCACTTTTAAAATCATTGAGCTCGCCTGGCCTTATCTCCTCATGAAGCCAAAAAATGTGGAGAACCTCTCGGTGCGCGTGCGAGGCAGCGTGCGTAAAACCCCCTTCCCCCAGGAGTCCGGCTGCGGTCGGCTACTGGAAATCCATCCTCGGGCAACTGGGCCGCGTCTCGTCGCTCCACGCTCTTTTGGGATGGGGAGCGGGAAAGGAGGGATCACTCCCCCTTCCCCGGGGAAGGAGGGCTCGGAGTGGCCGCCCTGGGGAACCCTGCGAGGCCGGGCCGCTCTAGCCCTTCCATTCCCACATCCTCAGCCTGGTCTCCTGAGCGGGCCCGGCGAGCGCGGGCGCCTCTACATAGCTCCGCGCCGCCTGCACCTGCTCCTGCGGCGGCGCCGCGCGCCGGGCTCCCAACTTTTCCTGGAAGGCCTGAAACACACACAGAGGCGCCGGGCGCGTGAGGGGGCGCGGGGCACGCGGGCAGCGCGGCGACGGAAGGCCGGGGGG